TCTTATATAGTTTCCTAAACCCTGGTTTCTTAGACATTCTGCTTTCAGATAGGAGTCTTTCAGCGAACAAGTTGAGAGGCGGCTGTGCCTGAATTTGCAGGCGTCTCAGCTCTTTTTGCCACTCCGGAAAATTGGGTTGCAAATATTTGCAAACAAATAATTCAGAAATGCCTAGTTGGAAGGCATCATCTCCGTCTGTCGCTTCTGAACTTCTGATAAGCTGTGGATTGCACTCTGTGTGAGCAGAATGTGAGTCCAGATAGGTTTTTGGTTTGATCCAGCATAGCTCTTCCTGCATTCTTAAGAATATTTTCATAGTTGAATCCTGTCATCATGTCAATTGCAAATCAAAGCTACCCTCACGAGGATTTCTAGGTGTAAAGTAATAAGAAATTGTTTACCAGTCCCTTTTTCTTGTGCCATTCTGGGCTCTTCAGCTTGCCCAAGGCTACACAGGTGGCGGAGCAGGTAAACTCACCAGCCAGATATGCTCAGCTTGATCTCAGCTGGTCGCCTCTCCCTGGAAGCACAGGACAGATTCACACACACACCCCTCTCGGAGCTGTACCAGCTCAGTGCTTTCATAGTAAAAGTGATTAACAACTTCTGGGCCCCAGAGTATGGGCAGAAGGAACACAGCAAATATCCACTGAGCCCATTCAGATAAAGAGCTAACTGAACTCTCTTCGGTAAGTTTAATGATCCAGGCTGACTGATCACAAAGGGGATCTGTCAGCAGATTCCATGTAAGCAGTATAATTTAAAACTGGTTCTCAACCGGTAAGAGACATATCACTTGCAGAATACAGCAATATTCTGGATGGGACACAGAGATTTCATAATGGTTGTTAGAAATTCACTCTCCCTCCATCCCAAATTATTCTGAAATTTTGACGTGCCATCTCCTATTGACCTTATTTGTAACTCAGTGCTCTCCTGATCCCTTAATTTCCTTGTCCCACCCATTTTTTATAAATGAGGAATATACTAACAGAAGGCCTGTTGCATATAAAACTTGAAATTGAACGCCAGTTTCTATGGTTGATGACTGTATAGAAGTCCATTGGGTGGCCTTTTCTTTCTTTCTTTCTTTCTTTCTTTCTTTCTTTCTTTCTTTCTTTCTTTCTTTCTTTCTTTCTTTCTTTCTTTCTTTCTTTCTTTCTCCTTTGATTTCTCAGTATGCATGATTAATTTGGGGCAGGAGAATAATGGATCTGGCAGCCTTTTAGGTGACGTAATACTGTAGGTCATGTAGAAATCTTACCTCCCGCGTCTTCAGTGGTTCGGTGCGGGTTGTTTATGTTTTACGTTGCCTTTCAAAAAGTGGTCCAGTAACTGTCAGTGAAAGCTTTTAGGAGCAAAGGAAGCAGTGCAGAAAAAATGATCCTGCCCTTTTGATGCATTTCTTGTTTTCCCCTCTGGCATTTCGAGTGTGCAGTGGGGTTTTTGCAGGGGGAAATTGGGGTGGAAATCCAGCCTCTGCTGAGAATACCGAAGGAGGCCTGTGCGCTGTTGACTTGCTCCCCTGGGGAAATGCCTTGGGGTTGCCCTCGCCTCAGTGTAACACCTGAGGTGAGATTTTGAAGAGGTCATGCTTGAAGACCATGCATCTGCAACCCACGCAGAATTTAACAGAAATTACCTCATAACAGTGAACCGAAAGGTCTGCTCTTAATGGGTGGCGAAGGAGTGAAAATATTGTTTCAGAGTTTCCCCCCACTGTGAGTAATCAGCTAGAAGTAGCTTGAATATTTAAGATGTAGGTGGGGAAACCGTAACCCCCAGACGCCGTACGCTGCCCCATGTCCCTCGTGTGGAATTCTGTGCTTTCTGAACCCCATCTCTCCCATTTGTACAGTTTTAAAGCGCCTCGTATTCTCCTGGGAGACCAAGGAACAACTTTGCCTCATTCCCCATGGCTTGTTGTAGTTGTTTGGGAGAATAAATTGATTGGAAATGACTGACATTAATTGGAAAGCATCTCAAAAAGTGTGTGGTCTCTCACAAGGCTATAAGTAATATAATTTCTCTTTTGGTCTTCAGTTCTTCTCTCCTCAAATCAACAACCTTAAACCTCTTCCCCGACGTAGCAGTCTCCAAGCTGAGAAAGAGTTTAAGACTGTGACGGTCCTCCTTACTGACCATGATGAAACTGATGGGAGTTTTAGCAGAACACATCTGGAGAGTACTGGGTGGAGGAAGGCTTGCAAACAACTTTAATTTGACTGACCAGTTGGCCAGGTTTTGGTCATTGGTCAAAGTCTGTGAGAGCTGAGCATTATCCAAAAAGAAGAAGATGGGTTCTGCCTTAAGTACCCCACGAATCTTCTTGGAGGTCCAGAGCGATGATGCCATTGGACTGCAATAGGCACGTGAAAGGCATAGGCTGGCCATTTGCTTTGCAACACAGGTTAATCTCTCTGTTCTCATTCTTTTCTGGGCGTGCTAGTTGCACATCTTCCAATGCACAGTCTTCTCCCATCATGTAGAGAAAGAGGTGATTCCTAGGCCAAAGCCCGGATGAGGTAATTCTGATGGACAGCATGTCCCAGAATCCCCCAGCCTGGGAGATTTGAGGAGAGGCTTGCTCTAGGAATAACTTGACCAGGCTGTGAACCACATATGAAGAAATAAGTTGCTTTGGGTCTCTGGATTGACTCTTGGCCAAGGATGGGCAACTGTGACTCTCCCTTTGTTGTTGTCACTGTTGTTGCCTACAATTCCCATTAGGCAGAGGAAATGTTGAGGGATTATGGGAATCACAGTTGAAAAAAGAAGAAACTGGGAGGGCCACATTTGCACACTAGACATGAAGATGTCAGTTTTTCAATGCCATATGAAGAATATAACTTTGAAGCATAATTTCTCTCTGCGTAGAAAATGAGCATTGCATTCCCACAACCATGACTCTGGTGGAATGAGGAAAGGTTTCAACACTTGGGATTTTACTATTGATGCGCAAAGGTGAATCAGGCAAGATGCTCACAGAGATGTCCAAAACTATGCATAGCGTGGAGAGAATGGATAGAAGGTTAACTTCCTTTGATCACAGTAGTATTAGAACCCAGGATCATCTAGTCAAGTTGGATCTTGGAAGATTCAGGACAAATACAAGGAAGTGCTTCACTCATCCTTTGGTTAAACTGTGGGATTTGTATCCAGAGGATATAGAATAGGGCTAGACAAATGTTATCCATGCTTGAGTTGTATGATGGATTGCAGTCCTAGCTGCTGGGAGATGTGTTGAGACCCAGCAAGATTGCCACCCTTAAGTATCTGGTTGGCCACTTTGTGAACAGAACTCAACTTTTGGTCAACAAGGTTTTGATCTACTTTGGTTGTTCTCCTTTTCAGTCTATAACCTCTGTAACCTCTCACATGTAAATATTGTGATGCCGCTCCAGCCTCTGTTCTTCAGTTGCTTTGGTGTGTCCATAGCTACCTGAACAGCGCTTGCACCAGGCTTTCCAGAGAGCAATACAGTAGTTTGTTGTAGAGGAAACTAGACTCAGTCTTTTTCCTGAGAAGAAGGGAGGGGAGAGGGAAGTGTCTTTCTCCCCCTCCTTTTGTTACAGGTGCTGCTTCGGATTAGCTGAATAAATGACAAATTGGCTGTCTCACAGTGCTTTGTTTGTGAAAAACATATGTTTGCTAGCAGAGGCCTGCAGAAAACACACACACACACACACACACACACACACACACACACCCCCACAGAAAACACACACACACACACACACACACACACACACACACACACACACACACACACACACACACTCTCTTTCTCTCTCTCTCTCTCTCTCTCTCTCTCTCTTAAGAAAACACAGAAGAACCAATTAAGAGACAAAAAGATGGTAGCCCCTTAAAGATTAACTTCCTAAGTTTTAACGTGAGCTTTCAAGGACAAATCCACTTCGTCAGACGTAAGAGAAAGAGAGATAACATGGTAAATATTTATATGTGGCATCATAATACAGATATCAAAATATAAAGATTGTGTTTGGTTGGTTGGTAAAAAAGCGAGCTGGAGTTTAACATTCTACTGATCGCGTGTTTGATATGCAGGCATTTCACAGAAGTTTGTGATGTAAATGGTGTCACCCCCTCCTGTCCCCTAAGTGCAGATAAAGGAAAAGCTCCATTGGTACATTACAAAAATAAATAAATAAATTTAAAGAGGGATGATGATAATGATGATGATGCAAGGCCAGCGGATGTGACCCTGTAGAGCAGAGGTAGGCAGAGCCCATATCCTCCTGGCTCCCCTGGGATTTTCCAAATTCCATAGCAGAAAGGGGAAATGAAGTCCATTACTATGCTGGAAGCTCCTGAATGGTTCATAGACACCACCGCCATTTCTCATACCATTTAGCAACCCAAGTACCCATATTTCAAAAAAGGTAGTGGGTTTAGGGCCATTTCCAGTTCTGTTATAGGGACGTGGTGGCGCTGCAGGCGAAACCGCAGAAGCCTGTGCTGCAAGGTCAGAAGACCAGCAGTCGTAAGATTGAATCCACATGACGGAGTGAGCGCCCATCGCTTGTCCCAGCTCCCGCCAACCTAGCGGTTTGAAAGCATGCAAATGCAAGTAGATAAATAGGGACCACCTCGGTGGGAAGGTGACAGCATTCTGTGTCTAAGTCGCACTGGCCACGTGACCACGGAAGCTTGTCTTCGGACAAAACGCTGGCTCTATGGCTTGGAAACGGGGATGAGCACCGCCCCCTAGAGTCAAACACGACCAGACAAAAAAATTGTCAAGGGGAACCTTTACCTTTATCTTTACCAGCTCTGTTAACCCCCTCCCCCACTAACACACACACTATGCATGGTTTATGCATCTCCCAAGGGATTCCAGGGATAGAATATTGGCCCTGAGACCTGCCAGGTTTGACCCTACACGCCACACACGCACCTCATACAGAAGAACCCTCCTGCAGTCTTTTCTGATAGTGTCCTTGACAGTAATATTGCTTCTTTTCTGTTGCTTTTAACAGGTCTACTGGATGAAATGGAACAAGAAGAGCAGCCCCCATATTAGATAAGTATTATAAATGACTTAGGATGGTGATGTGTACATGGGTGTTTCCTGAGCAAGAGAAAAGCATCTGTTTATTTGCTTCACCTTCTGTAGGACGTTTCTGAGTAAAATCACTTGCAAGATGCACGGATTATACATTGTGCACCTGTAGCCATCTCCCCAAGGAGACCCGGTGTGGTGTAATTGATAGGCTGACAGATTAGGACTCAGGAAACCCAAATCTGATTTCCCCATTTGGCTGTGGAAACACACACTGGAGGGGCGTGTGTGTGAAACTACTCCCTAATTACAGTGAGGTCTCAACTTACGAACTTAATCCATATTGGAAGGCGGTTCAGGTCGAAAAGTTCGTAAGTCGAATCTGCATTTCCCATAGGAATGCATTGAAAACCATTTAATCCGTATCTGCTCTTTTC